CGCGACACCCGCGCGGGCGAGCTGCCGCGGCTCACCTACACTTTATTTATTTTAACGCTCGTTTCTCGAGCCTTTGTCATTTTTAACAAGAAACTGGCTCTCCATCACCACGGCGAAGGCGTCTGCCAGCCTGGCCCCCTTCCCGAAAGCTGTTCTCCATCTCCTTGTGCCGGCCAAATTTTCAGGGGTGCTCCATTTCTCCAGGATGCTGCTCCGCTCCCCAGCACCCTCTCCCCATGTGCTCCCCTGTGCTGCACTGCAGAGAACGGGCACAGCTCACGCCACATATGGGATGCTCCAGGCCTGACCGTAGCCGTGCCGTCTCCCCCTGCTCCTGCCCCGTCCCCCCACGCTGGCAGCGCTGTCGCAGGAGCCGGACACCCCGGCCTCGTCACAGGGAGTCGCTTTAACGAGGCCGCTGCCTGCTGCCACTCTCGATTACCCTCCCGGGCACGGCAATTATTTTGCGTGCAGGAAACAGCATCACTGCACCAGTGCCGGCCGTGCCGCCCGTGAGCCACGGCATGCCTGGCCTGGAATGGGGTTTTGATCAGTTGTGGGGGGACCCTCGCTGCGGGACCGCCCCAGCAGGGATGGGGATGGAGATGGGGACGAGGGATGGGGACCAGGGATCTCCACTAGTGCTCCCAGCCCACGCGGATGGCACGCTCGGCGGCACATGAGATGGCATTTTGGGGCTTCTCAGCGGCTTTTCTAATGGGTCTCTGTCTTCCAGGAACCTCGGGAAGTCTGGGCTGCGCGTGTCCTGCCTGGGCCTGGGTAAGTGCCAGGGTTTGCCACAGCTCCTCGGCGTCCCCGCGGTCCTGCAGCAGCTGCCGGCGCTCCGCAGCGAGGGCGGCGCTCGCCTGCTCCGGCGATGCTTTGTGAAGGGAAGGAAAGGGTTTTTCCTCCAGCCCGGGGCACTTTTGAGCCGCAGCCCAGAAATTGTCAAATTATTTTCTCTTTTTCTCCTCCGACGTGATAGGAAGCGACCGGGCTGTGCTGGGAGCACCGTGCCGCACGCGGCGGGGCCAACTGCGGCTGCCGCGTACCGGGGCTGGGCCAGGGCAGCCAGGGTGGGTGGCCGGGGGCTCGGGGCAGCGAGCGGCATTCAGTGCTCACCGCGCTCACTGTGCTCACCGCATTCACCGTGCGTGCACCCTCTCTCCTCCGCAGGGACATGGGTCACTTTTGGAGGGCAAATCACAGACGAGGTAAGGATCGCGCCCTGTCCCTGCCCAGCCTTTCCCGAGCAAAGTGGGGAACGGATGGGGCCGGCACAGCCGCGGGTGCTGGTCTTGGTGCACGTGGTGTGCCGGCGTTCACCAGCACTCGTGAGCATGCGCCTCTGCGCTCCGGCGCTCGGCCACCCCCTTCACCGACCCTCCCCGCTCTCCCCTCACAGATGGCGGAGCAGCTGATGACTTTAGCCTATGACAACGGCATTAATCTCTTCGACACGGCAGAAGTCTACGCCGCCGGCAAGTAGGTACCCCGCTTCGGCAGCAGCGCAAGGGGCCTCACCGTGTGCCCCGGCCCCCGCGCCGGCGGCTGACATCCCCTTCTCTTGTAGGGCCGAGGTGGTGCTGGGGAACATCATCAAGAAGAAAGGGTGGAGGTAAGCCGGACTTCATTCTTGTGCGGCAAATCCGGTCACCGCGGTGCTGACGGGCTGGGGAAAGCTGGCGGAGCAGCCCCGGGCTGAACGCGCGCAGGCAGGGAGCGGGCAGGGAGCACGGGGATTTGCGGGTGCCGCCACTGACTCTCTCTTTCTCCCTGCAGACGGTCCAGCCTGGTGATCACCACCAAAATCTTCTGGGGAGGAAAGTAGGTAGCGCGCCCGCCCCGCGGCAGAGCGGCCGGAGCACGCCGGGCTCTCACCCACCTTTCCTTTCCCAGGGCCGAGACGGAGAGGGGCCTGTCCCGAAAGCACATCATAGAAGGTAGGGATGCTCCCCGGGCGCTGCCGGCCACGGCGCCAGGCTGTGCCCACGCCGGCTGCCTCCCGGCCG